CGCAGTGGCCTGCCACTCCTGCCTGCCCGGGCCTCGCCCGTTCTTCGGCTGCGGGGCCCCGCTTTGGGGGCGCTGCGACGTCGCCCCGCGGCCGCCGCCGGCGTGGACCTCAGCCAGGCCACCCCCTGCCCTTCAGCGATTTCCCGCCGCGTGAGCGGGCCTTGCGCACCCCCCCCCCTTTCCCTCCCTCCCGCGGCCGTCCGCCTTCCCTCCTCTCCCTCCTTGCGTGCGGGCTCATTCGTGACCTCGTGCCTGGCGTCGCTCGGGCGCGCGTGCGGATTGCCCATGCTGCGCTGCGTCGGGACAAATATAGTACGTTTCCTGGGGTGTTTGCGTTGGGAAGCGAAGGACCCTGAATTTCGACGTCGTGTTGGTTCAGGACGTCGACCCCGTGACGTCTGGTCCCCTTCCCCGGTCCAGGGGCCCAGTGGCGGATCCCCGAGACCGAATTCTGCCAGACATTGTCCGCCGTGGTTCCCGCCGTGTTTCTCGCACCATCAGGCACGCAACTTTGTTTGTTTCATTTTGGCAGCCTTTGCCGTGTGGTTCCTTGCTGGTCATCGTCCGGTGGAAAGAATTTTGCGAGGCGGTTGAAACACCAAAAATGGTTTCAGGAGAGACACAATGAATCGTCGATTCCCCCGAAGGGAAGATATGGGAAATGGGGGGAGGCCAGAAGCCCAGAAACTGTTGGGAAATATGGGGAATCCTCTTATCTGTGTCTCTCTATTTGTGTGCCCCGGGGCTCCTTCACGCGCTGGGTGCCGCCGCTGGTCCGATGGTTGCCGAGCGTGTGGGCGGACTCGCGCGAGGGTGCCGCGGGTCGCGCTGGGGCCAGGCCCACCGCCGGGCGCGCCCCGCTCTCTGCAGAGGACCTCGTGCAGCAGCAGCGCCCGGTGCGCTGAATTTCCTCTTCGTCTTCCCGCCTTCTGCAGTTCTCAGGAGGGGGAAAAACACAGAGACACAATCAGTCGTCGATTCCCATGAAAAGGTGGGGAAATATGGGCAGTGGTCTGGAAGACAAAAGCCCAGAACATCTGTGAAACTATGGGGAATCCTGGGCTTTGTGTGTGTACTCATTTGTGTGTCCCTGGGCCCCTTGAAGTTCCCCGAACCGCAGTGGAGGAAAAGGTACCGACGCCGCTACCCGTTGCCGGTTTTGCCCTGCGTGGGCCTTCCGGGAGGCCTGTGAATCCACGGTTGGGGTCGCCCCGGGTTGCGGCCAGCACGCACTCGGGGAGGGGTCCGGGGAGCAGTCGTGCCGTCACGCGGCTCCCCCACCGTCCCCATTGCACCTTCCCCCAGTTCCCCCAGGCGAGCGCAGATAGCCGCGCTTCGCGCCCCGCAGCCTCCAGAGGGGCGGCGCGAGGGCGCGAAGGGAGCCGCGCGTCGCGCGTCTCCGGGCGCGGTGTGCGAAGTTCGGTGGCCTAGCTTGCCCCCCCCCTCCTGCCAATCCTCCCCCTGTTCTTCCGCTCCCCGATCGCCCTCCCTCTCGTCCCTCCTCCCATCCTCGTCAACCGTTTCACCCTCTTCCCATCCCGCTCAGGCAGGCCAGCTCTCCCCGGTTCTGCCTTTTACAAGGCCCTGCCCCTCGCGCCACCCCCTTGCGCGCGCCACCGAACACGGCATGATTCCGCAATGAGTGGATGCGAAAGGCCTGTGATGAATGCGCACCTGCCAGGCGACATGCTCTGGAACTGCACCACTAACATGTCAGCATGCAGGACTTGAAGGCACGAGACAGCCCGCGCCTGTCCAGCATCGCAGCGCGCTTAAGCTACAATGGCTGACACCGCTTTCTTCAATTCAGCGTACGTCCTGATGCCACACCCGACAAGGCCTTTCCAAAAGCAGGGCACGCTAGCACTCCGCCTACAGAGATCCCAGTCCAGCTGTGCCCAGCATCGGTGCATATTCCAGCCCAGCAACTTAACCATTAAGCGTCACAGCCCCAATCCTGGGAGGAGGATGGGAGGAGGATGGGAGGAGGATGGGAGGAGAATGGGAGGAGGATGGGAGGAGGAGGAGGAGGAGGAGGAGGAGGAGGAGGAGGAGGAGGAGGAGGAGGAGGAGGAGGAGGAGGAGACTGGGCCTCTTACAAGGCAGGGGCCTTGCTGGAATGGCCCGGGGCTTCTCAGAGGCCCTCGCCCTCTCCGACGCTCCCCCGCCTTCTTAGGAAGGCTGCCCCTCGCGCCACTCCCTCTTTCAAGAGGGAAAAACACACAGACACAATGAATTGTCGATTCTCCAGAAATTATGGGAAAACATGGGAAGTGGGGGGGAAGACACAAGCCGAGAACATATGGAAACTATGGGGAGTCTGGTTATTTATGTCTATTGATTTGTGTGTCCCAGGGCCCCTTCACTCTTGCGCGCCGCCCGAAAATATGCTCCACCCTCCACGTCGGAGTCTTGGCATGGCGCAGTTCGCAGCTTTTCCGGCACAAAATTAGCTGTTTGAAGCAATTTGCAGATGAAGGCGCTGTAAGGCGCCAGGCTGCATCCTCCGCTTGCTAGCCTTTTGTTCGGCACCAAATGCTGAGAGATCGCCGACGTCCACACTCAGACACTGCGACGCATTTCTCTGATGCTGACTGCTTTGGGGCGTTCATGCCATTAGAAGCAGAAACAACGGTATAAACATGCACTTCCGGAGTGCCACGCGGATTTTTTCGGATATGAGATGAGAGGGGGTCCCAGCGCCGATCCAAAAAAATCCGCGCGGACATCCGAAAGTTTACGTTTATGCAGTTTTTTCTTCTTCTAGTCGTGGCTTGTGTGGACTCTGCGATTGTGCACCTGGAGGGGACTATCTAGCCGCCTGCGGCAAGCCCCGCCACTGACCAGACGACCAAGCGTCTTCCCAATATGAATGCAGGATAGCTCTGCAACTGGTCCACCATGGTTTTGCCATCGTTCTACCATGTTTTTTCTCTTTATGTGTGCTTGTACGGGCCCTCAGGACGTGCGTGGGCCGTTTCGGGTGCGATGGTCCCTCCGAACTCTTTCGAAGAAGCTCAGTTGAACCATTTTGGGGCAGCTTGGAGGGGTCTCGGTGCTCCTTCCAGCCGACACTTCGGCCTACCTCATGTCGTTTTGGAGGCGTTCTGTGGCGGTCCCGGGCGGTGCGGTTCTGGAATCGTCTCGAGCCGTCTTTGCGGCCGTCCTGGGGGGGCCGTTTCGGGCCTCTTGGGGTCCAGCAGTTCGTAGTAATTCCAGCCGATGGGGGGTCGGGGCTCTCGGATATCCTGCCGCCCTCGGAACTCTCTCACAACTACACGAGCCTTGTAGGACATCTCACCGCGTGCTCTAGGCACGCGCTGTGGCTTCCTTTGGGCTCGCTTGGGACGTCTTCGATGAAGAGGGAGTCCTAGGGCCGCCTGGAAGGTGGGTGGGCGCCGCCTCGGGGCGGTGCTGGTTTTATTCCGGGAGTCCCAGAGACTGTCTCGAGGCCGCGAGGAGTGCGAGGAAGGACGCGGCCGAACGGGCGGATCTTCGGAGCTGGGGTGCACCACGCAGGGAGGGGTCGCCCTCGGGGTGGGGGTCGGCTTCGGAAGGCAACGGAGACCTTACCCGTCCATGCCGGGAGCACTTCGACACGCCCCAGCGTGACCAGGGGGCACGGTGGCGGGCCAGAGGCTCCTCGTGGAGAACGCGCGGCTGCGGGCGCGACTGGCATCCCCAGGAGCCCACCCGGGCACCCTGCCTTTGCCCGCGAGGCAAGGATGCTGCAGGCGTTGGGGCAGCACGTGCGCACCACTCAGCAGTCTTATGACCACACGCGGCATTCACTCGGGTGTACATGCATTTTGTTTGCGTTGGCAATGTTTTCCCGCGTGATGCCGGGGCGCATTCTGGCATGACGCGCGTGGATCAGAGCACGAGGCTTTTGCATGCGTGCGCTGCCTCCTTCATCCTTCGACTTGGCTGCTGTGTCCCGCCCTCCTTGTAGAGAGTGTGGCCGCAGGGGTGTACCTCCTGACCCGTGATCCTTCTTTCTGCCAGTTGTCCCCTGCCTCGTGGTGAAGAGAATTAGGGTTGTTCATCTACCGCGCCTGGTGTAGGGCCCCTCGGGATATCCCACAGGAGGGCCAGTGTCATAGCGGACCATCGAGCATCGTAGTAGTGCCCTCACTGACGAATACGTCTGCGTCCTCTAGAAGGGACACGCGTTCGCACGTCGTTCTGGGTTCGGGCTGTGTGCGCTGGCGCAGCATGTTGTAGTCGAGGGTGCGGTGAGACGTAGTGTACGAGCTGTTGAAATGCGATGTAGCGCGATGGTACACGCATTGAGGGGGCATGCATTAGCTGTACATCATATTGATGTTTTGCCATGATGTTGCATCCAGGAGTGCGTCCCATGTACAAGGGCGATGAATCTGGAGAGGAATGCGCTTTGATTTCTTCTTCCTAGCAAGGCTTGGCGTGTCTGCCTGGATTGAATGTGTGCAACTTGCTTTTGTCAGTTCGGATCTGTTGGCCATGGTTCGATCTTGTGTGGTTCCAGCTGCGTGGACACATTGGCCTGTTTTTTCGAGCCAGTCTGCGCTGCTTGTCCTTCTGCCCGCAACGCTGATCTGCAGGCCGCTGGCCCCTCCGCCTTCAACGCCCCGAGCACCGGCTCCTGTTCGAGCTCTGCACGCAGAAGCCGCATCTCGAGGTTCGGGACTTTATCTTCCACATTCCAGGGCGGCCTGACAAGCGGGGACTTGGTGCGCGTGTTCTGGCCCCACATTGAGCAGGTGAGCTTTAGTCGAACTTGAGATCTCCTTTTCCTTCTCCTCTTCCTCTTCCTCCTTTCTCCTCCTGGCTCAAGCTACGGCGGCCTGCGCATGCGTGCCCAGCTCTTCGCGCCGTGGGTGCTCGAGGCGATGAGGCTCTGCATGCCGCCGTGCGGCCTCGCGGAAGAGAAGGACTGGCTGAACAGCTGCAGCGTGAATGTGTATGAGAGCAGAAGGCATTCGGTAGCCTGGCACGCGGACGACGAGAGCCTCCTCTAGGGCATGCTACAGGACTGCCACATCATCTCACCTCCCCTGGTGTCTACCCGCAATTTCGAGGTGATCGCCTCCAGCAGGCGGCCGGGCAACACCGAGGCGAGCAGGCCACGCTTGGTGTCCAGCGACCTGTGCACCATCGAGGGCATGACGCAGCGCCCCTACGTGCACAGGGTGCCGGAGGAGAGGGGCGCCCGTGGCCCCCGGTCGCGCGTGAGCCTTGCTTGGAGGTGGGTCGGACTCCACGAGGAGCGATGCTCGACGACGGGCACGGCCGGGGGCGTATCCCCGCCGCCCGTGAACAGGCAGAGATCGGCAAGCGGCCTCTCGTCGACTTGTTCTCCCAGGGGAGCTTGAACGACACTGAGGACGAAGAGAAAGCGGAGGAGAAGGAGGACCCCAGGCCAGACGTGACGGACTCGTGCGACAATGTGATCGGCTTCGACCTGAAGGTCGGACGTTTCCTGCGCTCTGAGGCTCGATGCGGGTTGTTGGCCCGCATAATCGGAGAGGCAAGTCACGCAGGGCCAACCATGCCAGTGCAGGGATTTTCCCCACCCCCGAAGAGTACGGGAGCCCAGGGCAAGAGCAATCGGCCAGGTAGCACCGACATCGTTTCCGAAGAGGCGTTGTTCAGCTTCGCTGCTCGGAGCTCAGGAGTTTTAGTTCATCATGTTCTTGTTGCTCCTGAGTGGCGCGACCAACTACCAAAAAACCCATGCACACATTGTAACGATGATTCTGATACATTTCTGCAGCGTGCAGCGTAAGGGCCTGGGAGCAGATGTCTTGAAGGAAGATCTGCCCCTGTTCTGAAAGAGGCTATGAGAGAACGCAGAGTTGCTGAACGTGTTTTTGCCGTGGAAATTGTGAAAAGCCCGTCAAGATTCTACGGACAAGTTCTGAATGCGTTGTCTGCGACATCACCTGGCTTGTTTTTGAAACGATTCTGCAATGCATCGCAGGAACTGCAAATCTTAAGCCGGCCAGGTGGGTGGCAGGATCTCCGGAACCACACTTCGCCATCGTACTTGTATGTGTTTTCGTGGATGGGCATTGGGTCCAGCTCGTCATTCTTGAGGTCCCTGTGACAACGCACGAAATTTTGAATGGGGAAGGGACACCCCAATAATGTCATATGCAAGTCGGCTCTTTCGGCAAACTCTCCGTTGAAGGCCCGCGGAGATTATCTGAACTTGAGACTGCGCTTAAACGGTCGGGAATCCACGCCTGCTTGCGACAGCACAACGATCGCATGCATCGCTACGTGCTGACAGGCATACCAGACATCATCCAGGCTATAAAGGCGCATGCGCTCTGGCGGGTCGCTGGTATGGGGAGCTGATTCCCACGGGCAGCTGCGCATGCAAATCTTCAATCCCAGTGAACATACCAGACCATTGCTCCTTCACTTGGCACCAATTGCGATTCAAGATGGCGTTCGTCGCATGCAAGAGTTTAAGCATTGTCTGATCTTCAAAGGGAACGTCGCATCGTTAGAACATGCTCTTGCTCGAGTATATTTTTTTGTCACAGCCGCCTCTCCGCTGATGCACTTTGGGTAATTCGGATGATCGCCGAAACTGGTTGCACGATGCAGTTGCTTGGCTTTTGCCCCTCAGCGGGCGTGTTGCCAAAGAGTTGCTTCCGCTTGCGTGCCCGCGTTGATCAGATTTATCATGTCGATGGGGTGCAAGGGTTTCTTTCTTTCTTGGGCGTGTGCGCGTGTGAAGTGCACGTCCATTGTAAAAATTACTAAGTGTTGTGTGCAAACATCCATTCGTGTCGTGAACTGCTTTGCGACGGCCAGTGGGTTGTGAACGCGGGATCGGCGCGTTACCCGTCGCAGTCCCGAGCTGAAGAGGCGGTCCCAATCAACAAGCCTCATGTCAGCCCACATGCGACCTTTCCTGTCTTGGCATCTCCTGAACCCATAGGGATGTCAGGCGCTTCTCCACTACTGGATGCTCGTAGTTTCGCCGGCTTGATTGAAGATGCTTAGAGACCAGCACGACGGAAATATTCATTGAATCGTGTATCGTGTGATGTTATGACAGAAGTAATTTGGCGATGCTCCAGGCAAGGTTGACGACTCTTCTATCATAGTTGAACCATGATGCTCCGTGCCCATTGACACGGGCGCCGAGGAGGACATGCGGGTCGTTGCTACAGATGATGAAACACGCAGGCGAATCTCAGATGATACGTGCGCTTCTCAGCTAATAGTTAATTGTTGCTTCGGACAGGACATCAGCAAACATGTCGCAACCGTATGATGGGGGGCCTGCTGCTTTCGCACAAAATGGCCTGGCCACAAAGGGGAAATGTGCTGTCGGGATTAAATGTGGTCAGAGCTTCTGCTCCGTCAGAGAGTGCGGGATTATGGTGGCCGGGGGTCGAGTGCGGGCTGGCCAAAATCAGTGGGCTGCTGACGCTGCACAGATATGCCTCTGTAGTGCGTGGCCATGCGCGCCCGAGCGGAAATATGGTGGCGGAACAGTGCATGGAGCTGATTGGAATTCCATCGGCACGGGCAGTTTTTTTTTTTTTTTTTTTTTTTTTTTTTTTTTTTTTTTTTTTTTTTTTTTTTTTTTTTTTTTTTTTTTTTTTTTTTTTTTTTTTTTTTCCTCGGGCAGGTCTAGCGGGGAGAGCGTGTAACACATGCAGTGGACCATCGGGGGTTTCACCGATGAAGCCTGGTTCCCAATGCCAGCTACACGAAAATTCGAAACAATGATGGCGGGTGGGCTACCGCTTGAGTCTAGAATGGTGGGCCCTGATTTTGCAGGCTCTGCATCCTGCAACTTGCGCTGCATGGCTTTATCTGGCCGCGTCCAGTTTAACAGGAGAGTTGCTAGCGTCCAATATCTTGCCCATCATATGGACATCGCTGGTCTCAGTAACCTCCATGCGTCTGGAGCCGCTGCGGCCGATTTCCTTTTCCAGCATTCGAAATACCGGATGTGCGTTTCATTGTTTGACTTCTTCCCCCGGCATGGCCCTGTGGCTCGCGACTCGTTTCCGAGTCTGCCTGTTCTGAGGATTGAGATTTGAAAGACATCATCGTGTGTTGGTGGACAGTGCAGCTGGCGGATTCTGGTATGAGTTAGGGCTAGTTGATTGGATGCACGTCGACCTTCCCCAATCAGAGCTGTAGGGGTCCGGGCGGAATCTCATGGCCCGGTGCGCTTTGCCGCCGGTTTCCGCGGCCCGCCCGGGTGCCTGGGTGCTTGGGTTCTCAGGTCCCTGGGTGCTTGATGGCCCTGTGACAACATAGCCCGATAGCCCTATATCTCCATATCCTTATAGCACTACAGCCCCATGGCCCCGTTGCCCTATAACCAAGTAGCTCACAGCCCGTTAGCCTGATAGCCCAATAGCCGTATAGCTCTACAGCCCACATAGCACTATAGCCCTATCGCCCTAGAACCCTATAGCTCTATAGCCCTATCGGCCTAGAGCCCTATAGCTTGATAGCCCTATAGCCCTATAGCGCCGTAGTCGTATAGCCCCAGTTCCCAATCTCCCTATGGCCCCATAGCCTTATAGCCCTATAGCCTGATGACCCCATAGCCCAATAGCTTTTTAGCCATATAACCACATGGCCTCCTAGCCTTGTAGCCCCATATCCTAATAGCCTTATAGCCTTATAGCCCTGTATCCCTATAGCTCTAAATGTTTATGCTCTATAGCCCACAGTGGCGCTATAGCCTCGCAACCCTGTATCCCTTTCGCCTTATCGCCCCATGGTCATCTAGCCTTATATCCCCATAGCCCCATCTACTCGTAGCCTTATGGCCCTATAGCCCTAGAGCCCCGCAGCCCCGGAGCCCCATAGCCTTATTGCCCTGCAGCTCTATAGCCCTATGGCCCCTTATTGCTCTCTGGCCCTATAGCTCTATAGCCTTATGGGCCTATGGCCTCGTGGCCTTATGGCCGTATAGTCCTCTAACCCCAGAGCCCCATTTCCCTGTGGCCTGATAGCCCCATAGCCCGTTGGCCCTGAAAAGGCTTTGTTTGGTTTTTTCTCGGGTACAATTTATTTAATGACTTCGCTCATTCCGCCGGCCCTGGAGCCTTCTTCAGGGCCTCCTGGAGACTTCTTGGGAGTCTGTTGGGCTCCTTGGCGGCGTCTTGGGGGCCCCCGGGGCCTCTTGGGGGCTTTTGGGGGCCTCTTGGGGCGGGGGGGGGGTAGTCTCGATTGCGGCTCCCCCCTCGGCGGCCGCGATCCTCGTGGGGGGTGTCGAAGAATGGCCCTCCCCTGGAGTGCTCTGGTGGCTTCTCCCGGGACCTTGCCGGGGTGCCGTCCGGTGGCCCCCAGGGGCTGCTCCGCTCGCGCGAACTAGAAATATTGTTAACCACTTACCGGAGATCTTAGCACGCCTTGGCCCGTTGGGCCGGCGAAATTTATCCGTCGCTTGTCGACTGTGCGATGCCGACAGTGTTGGATTTATGGGCTGGCTCCCCGCGGGCTTTTCGGTCTGAGTTTGATGGCGCATGCTTTGACTTAGTAATTGCGGGTATCGGAATTTTGGTCCTGCGCCGCCAGTGTAGCATTGCAGCGCTTCAGGGGGGCAGTGGCCTCTTGGTGCTCCAGTCTCACAGGCGTGGCATCGCTTGTTGTGCGTCTGCGGGGCCTCGGAAGCAGGGGGGCGGGGGGGGCGCGCGTTCCGGGCAAATGGTCGCGACAGGGGGCTGGCGCATGGCGGGTCGGTGAGGCGCTCGACCTTGCTCGGGTGGGGGCTGACCTCCGTAGGCGCGCCCGCCGTAAGCAGGCTGTTGCTGTAGTGCGGGGCATGTCGCGTCCGGATGCATCGGGCAACGTGCCTGTGTCTGCCGCCCCCCTGGGAGGGGGCCGAGGACGCACCTCCATGTATTTAAGTGACGCAGCGTGACGAAGCCAAAGCCAGATCGGTTGATGCACGACACTTCTTTCTTGCGAGACCTCGGTTCGAAAGGCGAGCAGTGGGTTGGCTTGAGAAGCGTGGGTTTGAATTGCTGTGCGAGTTTTCAGACTTAGCTCCTCAATGCGCCGAGTATGATATGAGTCGCCGTGTCGGCGCGGCGCAGCAAGCAACGCGTCGTTTTGACGTTGCTCTCTCAATGTGCGTCGCTGCCGCGAGGGGTCAGGAAGTCGACCACTTCGCTTCTCGAATTGGTTGCGGATGTGTCCGCGCTTTGGCAGCGTGGCTGAGTCGGAGTATGGCCCGCAAAGAGATTGCGCTCGCATCGCGAGCGTTGAGCTTCTGCCAGATAACATGCGCGACCTTCATGTCTAAATCTTGCGGGGGCAGACTGAATATGATGACTGCGATCATGGCTTATGGGCCGGATGAGGTCGTCGAGGGCATGGCCGGCAGCGGGCATTCAGCTGGGGGCTCGCTCATGGGCGCTGATCTCGCTCGCCCGCACTTGCGCGTTTGAAGCGAGTGTGTCGGCCTCGACGCTTTAA